TGTGTGAAATATTTTTTATCCTCCTATTCTTCATTTCTTAAATGTTTTTTCTTAATATTTACTTCTAACCATATTGTCGCAAATTTCCTAACAATTTGTTCTGGATCCAGAGCAAATCAATCAAAGAAAAACAAAACTTGAAGATTAATTTAAAAAACAATCATTTTTTTTTTAATTACATAATTTTAAATTTTTTTTTCCAACTTCTTTTTGAATTGTTATTTTAAAATTGTGGAAATCATTTCTTACCTACAATTTAAAGAAACTAGGGGCCCCTGTGGTTTGCTTATAAGCAGCATTATCTGTTGTAAAAACAGGATTGTGGCAATCAATTTTAAAATAAGTTTAGAAAAATTTGTAAATATTATGGCATACATATGCAGGTATATACTTGTATATGCATAAATATCATATTGGTTTGAATACTAATGATAAATAAAAGTAATGGAAATATTTTTAATTTAATAAATTTTAAGATGTAATATGTGTCACTGTTAATTACATAGATATGATTAAAATTCAATTTAAGAATTAGTTAACAATTAAGAACGAAAAATTTCCTTCTAAACAACGTTATCTAGATAAGACGTAACGTTATCTAGATAAGTACGTAACGTAACATTATTCGTGTTCTTATATCTCTCACAATTTTTAGTTTTAGTTTTTTTAATTCCATTCCATGTTAAATACAACAACAAAAAATTATTTCACTCTTACTTAACTCATTTAAAATATTTCGCTTCCTTTTGCTTTTTATTTTTGTTTATGGTAGTAAAGCAAAAAAACAAAAAAAATATTACTACTCTTTTTTTATTCTCTTTCGCTTTTCGCTTTTCGCTTTTCATTTTTTGTTTTTGTTTTACAGTATGTATAATCAATTGAGTAATGTATCTACCCAGTATTCTCTTTTGCTATTTTCATTTTTTTGTTTTTGTTATTTATTAGATTATATGTATACCTGTTCATGAACTGGAAAAATCTTGTAAAATATAATATAGATTGCCCTAAGAAAAAAGTTAAATGTTATTTTGTGCTTAAATGTATAGATTTTTGTTTATTTAGAAATTTCTGCTTGTGGTATCCTAAAGTAGACTAAAACAAATTTTATATTTCCTTTGTTTTTGAAAAAAAAATTAATTATCTCAGTTAGTTATGCTATTTTCAAAATATTTTATTATTAACGTCTGTATAGATTTTTATCGATTTCAAAATAAAAAAAAACTAAAAATTAGAAAGAGGAATACCAACCGGCATAAACGAATTAGAATTATTACATACTAACTATTGCTTAGTTTATAGTTTATTAACGCTGTGTAGAATATTAAAAATTATTGCTATAGTACGAGTTATTTATATATTGTTTCTATACAATTTAGCTTGGATTTTGAATTTTTCTGAATGTAAGAAGTAGTGCTGTCTGAAGTTGGATATTGCAAACTCATTAAAAATAATATAAACAAATTTGCAAATTTCGTAAACGCGAAGTAATAGTTTAAAATGATTTGCGATAACCATTATTACTTATAAAATATCCCATAGATGTTACTTGTCATTGTCTTACAGGGTTAAACAGTTTCAATATATTGAAATATCGGTTCGAATAGTGAATATCACAATTTTTTTGAAAAACGTAATTCGAATTATCATAATATTTAACATTTTATAAATAACTTTTTAGTTTTCATAACAGCATTTCATAAATAACAATATTTTTTGTAAAAACGAAAATAAAGGCCTAATAATATTAAAATAAAAATTTCAGGTTAACTTATCCATTAAAAAAAAATTAATGATTTCACATAATTCAAATAAATTAGAGTTCATTCGTTACGTAAATGTTGGAGTAGGCTGTAAAGCATGTATGAGGTGTCAAAACAACCTTCAACATTTTCATACTAAAATAATACTTTCTACGAAATTTGTGATTAGAATTCGGCATATCATTCTTTTCATAAACGAACACAAACTTTTAAAAATGTTGATGTAAGTTTTTGCTTTTCTCATAGTTAGTAATTTAGAATTATTAGATAGGAATGCTCCAGCGACTAAAATTTAAAAAAACCGTCCATTGTTAGAGCAAAATACAAAAATGCAATCTAAATTTAAAATGAAATAGTTTTAATAATGGCATAAATCTTAAAATATGATACATGGAAAAATCCAAAATTTTATGTGCATTCATAAAAAGAAGCTATAGTGATAATATGATACAATTTGAAATTCATTTGTGTTTATTATTAAAATCATAACTATGCATGTATGAATCCAGTTTATATATGTAATTCAAATTTAGTATGAAAATCTGGCAACTCAGTTAAAAATATGAAAAGGGGAAAAGAAAATAAATCGAAACCTCATTTTTGTCAAGGCCGTTGTTGTATATACAGGCACTTTCATTTGTATTTATTTAATGTCGACGTAAACTTTACGTAGTAATTTTATTTCTATTTTTTTTTGTAACAAATTATCGTGTGCTACTATCCGCTAACATAAACTGGTATATGTAATAAAGTTATTTAATAATATTGTAGGTTAAGATAAAAATTATTCGAAGTTAATACGAATGCATTTAAGTGTATTTTGCTGTGCATAAATATATGTATTCACATAAGCATAAGCAAACATTATACTTGCCTCATAACTCTGCTCCGCTTGTCATCTTCAGCTTGGTTTTCATATACAAATGCGATAAACTGTTTATACATATACATACAAAAGCATATATATATACATATTTTTATTTTGAGCATTTCTATAATGTTATACAAGTACATACATATGTATGTGTGTACATGCATGTGTAAAAACCACGCATCTTAATATGTACTTGCCTCAAATTTTATTTTTGTATAACGATCGTGTATGATTTTATCAGTGTTTTGTTCAAAAGATTAAGTAAGAAAAAGAAATGAAAATATGTAAAAATTTGAATAGTTATTAGTTATTGCATAATTAACAAATTGAAATATTAAACTAGCAGAAATCACTTTCATTTAAACTAATTCAGACTTGTGTGTCATTTTTTGTTAACACGCATTTAATTTTTATTTACGAACCTTGAAGCAATCAGATTGTTAGTGCATCAAAATATTTCGTTTTAATTATGGGCTTATATTAATTTTACAGATTGATTTGCCTTTTAATGAATTTGAATAAATTTTTTCTTCTATTCAAAATATTTTTCGTTTAATTACCTATGTATATGTATATGTGTGTACATATGTAAATAAATTTTATTTGATAACTATGAGTTAATTTTTATATTTAATTCGTATTGTATAATAAAGGAAATTGATTATAGTTACATTTATTGCATTAATAAATTTATTTTGATTAAAATTTATTTTTCTCATATTGGTAGATCGATTTGTATTTTTAAAAATTAATATTTATCTTATTTTTGTAACTTAATTCAGAAGTTGTGAGCTGTAAAACTTTTACGATATCACTTCTATTGTTATACTTACTTATAAGTTCGTGTAAATTTCATAATTTTATAGGAATTCTTAGTGTGTTTTTATGAAAACTGTTCTTGTTATTGCAATATATGAATTGTAAAGTTTTTAATAATTGTTTGTAAACTATTAAATGAAGTATTGCATAGAACGTTTTGGATTCTTACAATAAATCTCAAAATCGTTTAATAGTTATAAATATTATGAAAATTTTATTACACAATTATGTCTGTCACAAACTTTCAGTTTTCAAAACATCTTTCAATTCTCAAAATTGAATTTCTCTGTACCTTTGCCTCATCACCTTCGTGACATCTTTATCAAATTGGAAATAAAAGAATTTTGAAATTGTAAAAAGTGATCTAATACTTTCAAAATAAATCATTCATATAATTATCAATTTAGAGACTCCTCCGATTCATTTTCAGCATTATATTTAGTAAAAAAGAGAATATCTTGAATAGAACGCCGTTTTCATTACTTCCGGATAAATTTTAGTAGGAAAGATTTGAAGAGTGCCTTAGTCTTCATTAGTGTGAAAAACTGTTATGGTATTTTTTTTATTGAAAATATTGTTATAGGTAACAAAATGATTGGGTTGTGAAAATTTAAATTCTGTCTAGACTCAATATGCGATTTAGATTTCAATAGCAAAATGCAAGGTCGTCGGCTAAGAAATAAATCAGGATCTAAAATTCAAAAAAGGTTGAATAAATAAAGCAAAAAATTTGGTCCGCATAACCAGCGATTTTTGTTCAATTGCCCAAATTTTATAAATTTAATCTCTTAAAATTAAAAATAATGTTCAAAAAATATACATAATGTACATATTACATAGAAATAATAAATATAACTTTAATTTTGAATGGGAAATTTGTAAATGTCAAAATTCTACGCAAAGTATACAAATATTTTTGACTGCACAAACTACAACATTATGATATTACGTTGACATTTGTGAATACAAATATACTTTTGTATAGTATACATTACTGAAAGTTTACATTATGGAAATTACGTATTTATACTTTAATGAAGACAGCATACTAGATTAATTTTTTTATAATTTATAAGAAACAATTCCTAGAAATCTTAAACTTTTTTAATTTATGGATATGTTCATAAGTATGTAGCACTGAACTATCATATTTCAATAATTTTCAGCATATCATTCTGACAATCATATACATACATAAGTGTAAAATATAACCATTCCCTTAATATTTGGATAATTTTACAAGAAATCATTTCATATCATAAATGTTGAATGTAAACAGATTAAAAAGCAGATACAATTTTATAATAATATCAGAAAGTTATTTTAAAAGTGCAAAATAGTTTAAAACTATACATAAAGAAAATCAATAATAAAAATATTACAAAATTAAGACAACTAATATAATTGCTTACGCATAATATATATTATATACATACATATATTATATGTATATATAATTACATATAAGTTAACATTAATAAAATCGTAGCTTATTAGGAAATTAATGACAACTTTAAATAGAAAAATGAAACATTTCATATATTTAGCAATTATAGCTATGCTCATTCAAACACCAGTTTTTGGAGAAGATAAAACTGTAAAGGTAAGTTAACAATTTTTTATTGTTTTTTAAAGAATGTTTTAGGTATTATTTGTATTTAAAAAAAAAAAACAAAATTTTTGTCTGAGTTAGTTTAATAATTTGAATATATTTCTACATTTTAGAAAAGTATGCATATCATATTAACAATTATTGATATATTGTGTTTGAAATAATCACTAAATAAAACATTTAAATTTCTCAGTCTTATTATTATTACCAGATTAATCAAGCAGAATTGCTTTCTCCATTATTAAAAAATTCACAAAGTATTAGATTAAGTGATAGAACTACATTATGTCATTCAAATATTTTGCTGTTAATTTAACATAATATTTAGATGCGAAAACTCTAAATTTCCAATTAATTGACGTCGGGTTATTTTTCAATTTTATGGTTCCACAGAAATTCGACAAAAACAAATTTGGCAAATATTTTTCAACTTTTAATTAGAGTATGTGACAAACGCCTAAACTAGTAAAAGTTCAAAATGTTCGTAATTGAAAAATAAACTCTAAATTAAATGATAGTAATTAATTTAATTTTAAATTGTTAGTACTAAATTATTAGTATTTAAAAAGTAAAAAAAATTCATTTTGGTATGTCAACCTTCAAAATTAAATATTGCTTTATAACATACTCATTAAAACATACAATATATATACAAATTTCAAATCTTTCTCGACTTCTAGTTCATTATATAGCGTTAAAAATAATAACAGGTCATATAATAGCTGCAGAAATAAAAAATGCATCTATTATTATTTAGCGATGCTTTTATTTATTAACTTACTATGTAACAATATCACAAATCATTCGTAAGATTTTTATGCCTAACAATACACGATTTTTCCGCCTTTAACACAACTTTCATACAAAACTGAATCGCTTGCATGGTTTCTTTAAGGTAAATAGAAACACATCTTAATTAAAATTTTGAATATTCATATTGATATTATAATCATAAATCCATTTTGTGTGACATGTGGTTGTTTCTTCAATAAAAATTGGTTGATCTTCCAAAAAAAAAAACGAAAAATAAATTAAATAATTACATCAAAATAATTATTATGTTGCACAAGCACATGAAAATTTAAAATTTCACGGAAAAATTTAATACGTAAATTTTCTAAAAAAATTCGGAACACAACGTTTTAATGAAATACGAATATCAAAGAATACTCCTATAGCTAAAAACTCAGTAGGCTCAGGTCGATGATTCTCTGCAACACAGTCCAGAGGGGCCTGCGGATGACACAGACATAGTGCGGTAGTGTAGGTGTCAGACTAAACCTTAGCAAGACGACCTTGGTGCCATTCACCAGAAAAAAGGGGCTAGAGTAACTGCACACAATTCGTGTAGGCGGGACGGCTGCTGAAAACAAATCCGGGATCAAATACCGGGGTGATATTTGATTCCAAGCTCCTTTGGTGAAGTCACGAAGAGGGTGTATGCGGGCCACCCGAGCGCTTATGGGATGCAGGGCCATATCGGCAGGACATGGTGGTGCTTCCCGTCCATCATGTGGTGGTTGTATACCATGATGGTCGTGCCACTTCTGACATATGGAGCAGTGGCACGGACAAGAAATGTGGCTCTTGATACGGCTAGGAAGGACCTGAAATGATTGCAAAGACTTGCATGCATCTGCATCACAGCGGCTATGAGAGCGTGCCCAACTGCGGCAGTGGAGGTGATTTTGGGACTAACTCCCTTGCTAAGGCCGCCAATCTGAGGTTGGGAAGGAATGGAATTGATGTGATAGGGACATAAGATCAAGATCGTCTTCTCAGGGAGGTTCCGCTCCTAGGGCATGGTTCCTAGGGATTACATGGTAAGAAAGTTCAGCTTCGAGAAAAGGTTTACCTCGTTGCTTGTTAACAGAACGAGTTGAAATCCCGCATTTTTGAGTCACCTGGCGGGGTCTCACACCATCAGATAGTACACTGATGGGTCAAAGACCTGCCTGAGAAGGGCACAATACACCCTTTGCGTGGTCGTGGTGCATTGTTACCCCATGTTTACAGTCTACAATAGCTAAAAACAGTTTTCTAAATCAATAGGTGACTTGATTACTACTATTTATATTACAATTTTTTATTTTGAGCACAATTTGAAAATACTGATCAAAAGAAAACTTCCTTTTATTCGGAATAAAATACTTTTTTTTTTATTTTTCGCTAATATATTTCGTGCGCTACATACGCACTTTATCAAAGCTGATTTTCTTCTTCTTTGATAAGGTGCGTATGTAGCGCACGAAATATATTAGCGAAAAATAAAAAAAAAAAAAAGTATTTTATTCCGAATAAAAGGAAGTTTTCTTTTCACACCAATAAAAAAATTATATTTCGGAAAAATATTCAACCATTGAAAAAAAAATTTTTTGAATACTGATCAAATTATTATTTGATCTGTATTTATTAAAATTTATGTGAACAACATTCAATCTGGTTAAGGGGAATTTGAATTCAAAGAACTGAGATAGGTGTTTTACTTATTTTTGATGCGTCGTTCATAATTGTAAACAACTCCGAAATGTAGTGCCTTTGATTTTTTTTAAAGTTGAATAAAATTCATCCTTTCGACAACGAAAATAAAAAACAATTAATAAAATAAACGAAATAATACGCTATCTTTAGAGTAAAATCTGGCCTTATTTTTATAAAATAACACATGGTTCTTCACATATGGTTACTTCACATTCCTCTTCAAGTGACCGAAATCCCATACAGAAAGACCTTACCTTTACACTGACCTTTCTTATTCTAATATACTAAAGTTACATTTTAAATTTTGTCTTTATTTTACCAATGCATTGAAAATCGTATACACACTTCACAAATGAATTCAAAACTTTGTGCATGTTCCACAAATACAAATGAATATGTAAAATAAGCGACTTCTTTTGTATGATAATTTTTTACTAACTTCTTGTATGATTAGTGTCTTGTAAAAAATAAAAAGAAAGAGTATTCATTTTTTTAATTGCATTTTAAAGTTAATAAATAAAGTTTTAGAAACATTAATGGGGCATATTTTTTTCCAAAAACCTCACTTATTATGCGATTTATTCATTCATCAAATTACAATGAACATATACATTCAAATACTACTGAGAAAAAGATTATTTCATGAAAATGAACTTGAAAAGATGAGCAAGTAATGAGTCTGTCCGCTATAATAAAGTTTTTAAAAACTTTTAGAAACTTTATAAAGTCTTTGCATGCAAAGCGTTTATAAATATGCGGGATAATACTTTTTGAACAAAAATGAGAGAAAATGATGATATTCTCATTTTCTCAAAGTTTAAAGTTTTTTCAAGTTTTGTAAAGTAAAATTTAGTGTTTTAAAAACTTTTAAAATCTTGGAGCTGTCAAAACATACATATGTTTTTCTTGGTTATGTCAGAAGGGTTTATTATTGAAAAAAAAAATTTCATCAAGAATAACTTTTTTTTCAAAATTTTTAAATTAAAAATAAAATAACCAAAATGGGTTCACAAATGGTTTCTCCTAAGTTTCATACTTTTATAATCCAAAATCAAAACCAAAATTTTCGGTTTTTGGTCTAACCAGAAAATATGAAATTTGACGTTTATAGTATATTTATAAAATTTTTAAAAGTTTTCCGTCTGGTTTATTTTTTCTTTAAATAAGAATTTTTTTCCTTTTTGCGAGAAATTTCGTCATTGTTTCTTTCAAGTTTTACCACAGACATAACTAATATTGTTTAAAAAAATTTAAAATGTTTTTTTTTCTTTTAGCTGTATGAAAAAAAAACTCCCTTTTATTCGGAATAAAATACTTTTTATTTTTGCTAATATATTTCGTGCGCTACATACGCACTTTATCAAAGCTGATTTTCTTCTTCGAATAAAAGGGAGTTTTCTTTTTATATAGCTGAAAAAAAAAATTTATATTTCGGGAAAATTATTAACCACTGAAGAATTTTTTGAATTTAAAATGTTTTTGAACCACACACTGAAAATGTCACTCAAACATTACCATACGCGATAAAAGTTTTTTTATGACTTTACAAAATTGTCAAAAATTTAAATTTATTGAATTATTTACAAGTTGTATATTTTTATTTTCAACACATTCCCAAAAAAAAAAGGAAAATACTATTTTTAGTCTCACTCTGTCCATCATTCCGTTTGTCCGCCCTTCAAGATAGAAGGCTGTAACTGCATGTACAAATGCAAGAAACTAATAGTATTTTGATATGAGGTGAAAACGTAATAAGAATTTAATTTAATATGATTCAAATATTTTAACACAACATTGTTAAAAAATAATATAATACTACTTTTTTAAGGTTTTTTCTAGGAAAATTTTAAGGAAGTCCAAGAAAATAAATCTTTTGCTAATAAAAATATAAACTAACTATCAGTGAAACTACAATTTTTTTATCTTTTTTTAAGCGAACTAAAAGAACGAAAATTAAGAGTTATGTAGACCACATTAGAAATAAATTTCTTTGAAAACTGTAGTATTTAAACATCGTCTATTCAATTTGAAAAATTGCTATTGATTCACATCAACTTACACATATTTTTTTTTCATTTAAACAAACCCTATATTATTTATTATATTGCGTGTTATAACCGCAGAACATATAAGTTAAAATTTTATAATCTTCATTAACCATAATGGTTATCTTTCAAAGTAAATTTTTACATTAACTTATTTTCTATTGATATTACATATATCTTATTGGGTGACCAGTAATGTGTGGGTATTATTTATATTAAATAATAAACGAATTATTAGTTTTTTTTAAATTGTTGCCCTGTCATGTTTCATATGTATTGTTCAATACTCTAATTGTCGTTTACATATTAAAAAAAGAATCTTACACCCATAGGCTATTATTTGTTAGTAATGTTAAGTGTAAATCAATTTTAAATAATAATATTGTTTAAATTTGAATGAACTTCTATAAAGTTTTTTGTTATCAATTCTTTTACCTTAACATAGAAACAAATCTCAATCGTGTTATTTCAATAAAAAACAAAGTTGTCGTCTGACAGAGAAGTGAGGCTAATTCGTAAATGATAACTAATTAACATAAGTTTGTCCATGTAATGGTAAACTAAAAATTTTTATTATAGTTCTTTTAAGTTCATCAAAAGAAGTGCATAGGATCATTAAAATATCTTTTAAACACTAATGTGTTTTGAATCTTAAGAAAACTAGTCTTTAGATAAAACCCAAAAAAAAAGTAAAATTTAACTTTTTTAAAAGGTTAACTTTCTGATAAATTTATTACCAAGTTTCGTCGGAATATTATGCCAATATGAAATTGCAAGAATTTAGTTTAGTTTGTTCTTTATGTACTAGGAATTCTAAAATTTGATAATTCATAGTTTTAACAATATAATAACAATATTTCATCGATTATTTTTCTACATTTGAGCGAAAATATAAATTGAGCCAAAAGCAAAACTCCAGTTAAAAGAACCTGATTTCTTTGAAACTCTAAGTGGATCGACGGAGCTTATATATTTTTAAAAATAGTCAAAAATTATAAATCAGTTCCTAATAAAAGTAACAGTTGCTGGCATAACATGATTCACTAGTGCTACTCTTGGAATTTTATTTTATGATTTTAAGTAGAATTTTTAGAATTTTCGAATATTGATCAATTATTCGTAATATATTTTAGGTTTGTGTCACACTTTATCAACGTATTTTCGACCAACAAGCTAGCTGTAACACAACATGTTTTGTTGAATTATTCAATGGTTCTCAGGTTTTTTAAATTGAATTTGTAAATTTTGAACAATAAAAAAAAATAATTGAAAAAAATATGAAAGTGCCATAATAAAATAAGTCATATGAAATTTTATGTTTTTCTTCTCGTTTATATGAGTTTATTTTCTTTCGTTCACACTCAGAAACTGACAAGTTCGAAAATAACAATTGTGGATAAACTTTTAACTTTTTTTTTAAAGCACACGTATCCGATTATATAGGTAAAACAAATTAAATTTAATTTCAAAATTAAAAGTTCTTTAAACCAATCCCACAGAATGGGTAATGCTATTTCCCCATCCAATAAATTCAGATTACAATAAATTCCGAAAAAATACCAAATACATAAGATTATTTTAAATATCTAAAAAAGTTTTAATTTTGTTTTTGTCATTTCACTGACAATAATTGCCCATTTACTACCGTGAATATTATTATACTGAATGTGCGGAATTATTTAGTACTATATACATTTATATAGTACAAAATTAAAAGTAAGTATAAACTTCAGATTTCACCACTTTTTTTAAAAGGACAGTCTTCTACAATATTACAGAATTCACGATTTGCTTATTATAACTTCATTTTGAAAGAAATTACAAATATCTGACATCAGCGAGGAAACCTTTAAACTTATTTTATAAGCAATTTTACCTTTTCACACAAAAAAAACCCAAACCAAAAATATAAAAGCAAATTATTTATTAGTGCTATAAAACGAAATTTTACAAGCAAATTTAAAGGCACTCCTTTACTTCTTTTTTTCTTCTTTCTTTATCAACATTAAGAAAATTTCATTGAATAATAAAATTTTACTTTTATTAATTTGTTTTGAACATCAAACTAAATTTCACTTTCAACTAAATTATTGGCATTCGCAATCCAAAATAACCTAAAAAATGAGTTTCGTTTTAATGTATTCAGAAATTGAAGAGCAAAAAAGAAGCTGTTGAAATCAATTGGGTACAATGAGAAAAACGGAAAAAAAAATTGTTTTTTTGGTTTAGTTTTGTTTTTTTTTGTATGAAATAAAAGATTTTGTAATAACACAAGAGACATTTTAACTGATGTTGATTAAATGATTCCGTAGTAAAGAGAATGAAATAGAACAATATTGTGCATAAAATTATGGGCTGCCACATTGATTGGTGCAGCTTCACACATCAATACAACACACGTTTGAGACCCACCCTCCTGATGAACTCAAGCAACTTGTGAGAACTAGAGGACCGTAACTCCGCCACCGTTAAGGGCGTTAAAGCAAAGTCCCCCCAGCACCTCCTCCCTCCTATGAGCAAGAGCATCACACTCCCCCGGGAGGTGCACCGAGGTCCCTCCATACTTCCCACAGAATCTGAAAGTATCCTCATTTTCCAGGCCCAGCCGACTGAGGTGCCCAATAAGCCTGCAGTGACCCGTCAAAATTCCTGTGAGGACTCTCACCTGGTTCTTGCCCATCCCTATAATTTTCTTAAATCGCTTCTGGTCATAATCTCCCAGGAGCTCCTTGGCTTGCCGCAGTCCCGGAAGACTTCTCCAGCGCTCCGACCGCCTTCTTTCTGATTCCCTCCTAAATCCCCAACGGATAGTATGTGGCTCGATTCCGCAGAAGGGCTCCGGCCCAAGAAGAGGTGTGTTTGCCCCCTTCCTTGCAAGTGCATCAGCGGCCTCATTTCCTTCCACGCCCACATGGCCCGGCATCCAACACAGTGTGACCCGGTTGCATCTACCCAACTCATTGAGCTTCTCAAGACAGCCCAGTACTGCCGGGAAGGATACTGAAAACGAGTTCAGCGCTCCGATCGCAGCGCGGCTACCCGACATAATCATTAGCTCCCGTTCCCGATATCCCCTTTCCAGGATGAACCGCACGCACATTTCAATGGTTCGAAGAATTTGGTTCTTGGCCCAAATAAAGAGTTTTTTATATAAATTAAGACGCTGTAGACATATAAATAGTAGTGCAATGGCATATACCAGCGAGTAGATCATTGTCAGTAAAAAAAAGAAATTATTCCAAAATAAACCTCTACCGCAACCTACTTAGGAGCTAGACACTTAAAGGTAAAATTATTTTTTTGGCTGGCGTTTTTGAATTTATGCTCCCTGTGACCGTTTTAATTAGAAAAGTGATAATACTCCAGGAGTATAAAAACTGAATATTTGAAAATGTTTCACTGGATAAGTTGGCCGTGCGTTAAACCTGTAAATTACACAGTTCTATTCTAATCATAGTTTCAAAATTTACTTCATCAATTTAAAAAAATACAAACTAGAATCAAAATTAAACTGTGCAATATATGATTGTCTTAAAATTTTTAAATTAAATAATTGAAATTCCAACTTATGTCAGTTTAATGCATTCAGTAGACTCATATCAGTTATACATTCTACGAGTTAGAAGCAAAATAGTACAACTACATCAATTCTATCATAAATATAATGTTTTATGTATGAAAAAATCACCCTTATGTAATAAATGCCATCAATTTTGCTCCATCTCCAAATGCACCTATGTTACAACCGCTTGAATTATTACCTGGAACTCCCGGTTTAAGCTGATTGTAATTTTAGGGTGCATTTAAAGGAAAAGTATGTACTTTTTTTGTTCGGTTGGTAAAGAATCCCTAAAATTAAATTTGGTTAATTCGTTTAATTGCAATCCTCATCACCTTATTATTATTAATTATTATTATTATTATTATTATTATTATTATTATTATTATTATTATTATTATTATTATTATTATTATTATTATTATTATTATTATTAATCTATAAAGTATTAAATAATTATTAATCTTTAAAGATTTGTTTATTTAAAATGCTTTATTAATTTTCGATTTCAGAAAAGACAGATTTATAGAGAGCAAGTATTGCCTCATGCAGGTGGAAAAATTCCTGATACAGCTTTTCAAACAGATCGTTTACTTTTGAATCAATTACAAAAGGAAGGAATTGCTATACCAGATGGGGTGGTGTTAGAACAACGAAATCCTCAAGTATCTATAATATTTTATTATATATGCAATTATTAGTTATACTTACATTAATAATAATAATGCGTTATTCTGTTTCAGGTACATCCATATACAAACAAAGCAAGTCGAACCGTTTTCCGTGTGGCTTCAACTTCAGATGCTCGATTTATACCAGATATAGGTCGTTACACTTACAAATATCCACCCAGTTTAGAAACCACATATTTGTATCCACAAATACATAACTATCCATTAATGACACCCCCATTATCAGCACCAAAAATACCAAAATATCGACCTTTAACTTTACCAAGCCCACTATTATCAAATAATCCACCAAAAGTTAATAAAAAGAGTAAGTAAACTCTGAATTAAAGTGTAAACTCGCAATGTTTATCTAATTTTTCGTATAGTAAAAGTTTTTTTGAAATATTTAAGAAAATTTTCATTTTTTTTAATATAATGTTTAAAATATAAAATACTTTATACATAATTCTTGTCTTTTATTTCGTATTTCAGCTGTATATTTAGTTTCCTATGGACCAAAAGATACATCTAGAAGTCTTCAGTCAGCTCAAATAGCATCAAATTCAGTGAACCCAATTAAATCAATTAACACTGTTAATATCGTAAATAACCCTTTAAATGGCTTTTCGTGGAGTGAATTTCAGCAAGACTACTTAACAGCGCATGTAAATTGATTTTTTATTCATTTTATCTATTCATTCTTTAAAACTTTAAACAAAAATTGGAAAAAGTACTTATTAGTTCACCCTTTCCATCCGTCCGTATATCTGCTTACGAAACTTCTACACCCTTTCAGATAGAAAGCTGAAATTTTATACAGCTGATCTGTAAAAAACTTATTTCTGTAAAAAAAATTTTATCTATTTCTTCTCGCTAAAATATTATAGTCCCTATATATAATTTATTTATATTAATTCATAAAAAAATGCTTGTTAGTTTCAGCATGTTCGTTCGTCCGTAGACATGTTTACAAAACTTTTATATACCTAGATCTTCGCATATACCTAGATCTTTACTAGAAGCTTACGTTATTTTTGTAGAAGAAAATTTTTACTCCCCTCCTTTAGAGTCATTTTCTTTAAATCCATTTCAAATTTTGCAAACGCAAATACTTCAACTTTAAAAAACAAAATAGCCGTTAAAGTTTACCGTTACCTAATGTTCCATATATATGAAATAAAAGTGAATTTTTCATTATAAAGAGAATATTTAACTGTCCGGTCGATATTAACGCATTCCGGTCTGAAATGAACACTTCAAAATTAAATAAAAAAATTGCAGAAAAACAACATAACAAAAAAATTTGTGTTTATGTTAGTAGGCTCTTAATTTCACAAAGTAACATGTAATGAAAAAACTAGAGAGAAGAAAGAAGAAGGCGACCAGTATGGAAAAACGATTTTAGTGTTTCGATGTATTGTAGAATAGTCTTTTATAAAAAATAACTTATAGAATTAACATTGAAAAGTAAGCGTGTTAATTTTCTGAGTTTGATTGAAAAGCGCTCTCTTTTAGCTCATAAATGAGCATTGCCACATTATAGAATAAAAATATTTTTATAAACACAAAAACTATTTTTTAATTCATTTGCACATAAGATTTTTATTTGAATAAATAACATAAAAATATAATATTTGACATAATGAATATAATGAATATAAAATTTTTGACATAATGAATATGTAAAAATTAATTTTACCTTGACGTCTTATAGTAATTAAAATTCCGAAAAAACAATATAAATACTTCTTTTGTTTATTAATTTCGCTGAATTTATACTTACATATACGAGTGAGTATGTAAAATTGTCTCTAAAATCTAACAGAGTAAAAAGTAAATATTTTTATACAATTTTGCATATACATATGTATGTATAAGAACATATGTATATAAATGTGTGTATTTTTATATTTTCTTTTTAATTAATAAAACTTTAATTAATTGTTTAATAAATAAACATAAATATTTAAATAAAAACATATTTTACATATATAAATATATGTATACATATGCATATACAAATATTTTTTATATTTTTTTTATTTATATAATTTAAATTTTTTTAGCTCTTCAATGGTTTTGATGATATATTCAATAACGATTACCAATTGCGAGAAATTCGAAGTTCACATTCAAAAGCTACTGAAACAGCAAGCAAAGAGAAGCCATCTTCAACGAGAATAAAATAGAAATTAATTTAAAACACAAACAACAGAAAAATATTTACATCTTTTTTTAAAAAAACAAAATGAACAAAAAAAAATTAAATAACTAAAAAAATATGCAACAAAAAAAATTTAATTTATTTAATTAAAACAGATTTCATATTTCGGTTTTAATTTTATAAAATATGCGCATATCTTTTCCTAATCAATAACTGATTTCATTATAAGTTGTAACATCTACTACAAATTGTCCCTAATAATTTTTAGTTTATAAAAAGCTTTATTTGTAAATAAAAATCTTTTTAAAAAAAACAAACACACTCAGTGCTTAATTACTCATTTAGTGTTATCATCTTTCCCGATTTTATGAAGTTTTACATTTATTATTATTACTGACACAATTAAATAACTGTTTTTTCATATTAGAGATTTTCATAAATGCAATACTGCAAAAATATTGCAGGCATTTTCATAAACACAATATTGTAAAGCAAATATATACCAAATATATTTTTAACAGTTGTATAAAAACTTTTGGTATTTTGAATTTGCAGTATAGGGTTCATGAACAAAAAAAGTCGTTAAGAAAAAAAAAATTTATTTATTTTGGGCCAAACAGTGGAAAATTCTATTTTAGGAAAACAGGCTATATGAAATTTTACTGAAATTATGCTTTCTTACCTTAAATGACTTTCAATCGGATCAGACCCAGACATTTCAAAAGTGTAAAACCAAACTGCAAAAACTAGTAAAACAAATACAGCTGATATAACTTCGCTAGCCATGATAATTTAAATATTTTTGGGATAAATTGGCAATGTTTATGAACAAACTTAATTAGCAATATTTGTTTGTGAACACAAATATAGCGCAGTTCTCGCTATATATCGCAATATAATTTAACTGCGTTACTATAGTTTGCGTTACTCATACTAATTTCGTTTAATTGCGAAAATTCAGCATTGTTTATGAACAAACTAGATTAACAATATTTGTTTATGAATACAAAATATATAGAGCAATTTTGCTATATATCACGATATACTGCATTTATGAAAAGAGAACTTTCCTAGTTATTAAACGAACTTAAAGTGATCACTTTGGTAGAAAATTAAAAAAAAGGGCAACTGTGACCGTGCTAACCGTTTCTTAAAAAAATTTCAAAATTAGGAAAAAATGAACTTGCAGCTTCGCCCTGTCCATCGTCTGCGCGTCTATTCGTCCTGATACCGGTCTACATTCTTCAACCTCTAATATAGAGAGCTGAAATTTTACACCCCGTGTAACTTATCTTAAAAATGGCATATATATCCAACTTCTTGATTGAACTGCGTTATTGTAAAAAATTTTTCAAACCTCAAAATCAGTTCGCTTAAATAAAGAGTTTTTCCGCTTCCAATAACTTGATTTTTGTATTTTAGGAAATGGGAGATCGATTTTGATTATTTCATTTTTGTTTTGTGAAAAAATACTCCAAATATACATACATATGGGTTTTATACGTCATATGTTTATAACAAAAAGAACATTTTCAACATCAATATGAAACGTTTTCGTCAATAATCAAATATTAAGATTCAATTTGCTTTCTAGTTCTTTTATAAAAAAAGCAATTCATAGCAAAATCTAAATTAACCTCCATATTTATACATACTTTTAACAAATAAAAAAGTTGGGTCAAACCAATGGTTTGTATTGTAGCACTTTTCCCTTCAACAAGTGAAAATTCTGCTTTTAAATACAGTCTATGTATAGCTATCACACTATTAAAATTATTTTCATTAATATACAAAACTATTTCTAGGATTGCATATATTTAGGATGACGCATATATGCAGTCTTTGAAATAAAGCAAAAATTAATATAAAAAGGGTTAAGTTAACATAATGCTCGATTTTAAGGGTTAATTGTGTGAGTTAAGAAAAATAATTATATTTTTTAACTTCATGGAATTTACCGTTAGCTTTTTGCGTTTACAAAAATTTGGAAAAGTTTGCGGTTTCGGAAATATAAGGTGTCAAAAATTCAAATTTTACGAATTTCAAGAGGTGATAACTTGAGAGGGGGTGGAGATGGAAAAAAATTTTCTTCTAACAAAATGAACTATTTATTAATATCTAAAAGCTCCTAAAATTTCAAGTTTCTACAGTCTGGGATCTAGAAGAAAAACGAAATCAAAAATTTGAAAAAAAAGACTTTAGATAACGGTAAATTTGAACGGCCATTTTGTTTTTCTAAAGTTTAACTATAGTATACCGCGCTAGGGGAAACAAGTCGCTGCCTTTCTGCGTTTGCACAATTTCAAAAATGCTTATGGTTTCATTGCAACAAATATTTAAAAAAGGCCATTTTTAGGGTTTTGGGGGGGTATAACTTCTAGAGGGGGGGAGATAGGTAAAAATTTTGTTCTACGGAAATAAGTTTCTAGTGAAGATCTATGTACGTATTAAATTTCAGCTTTCTATCTTCAAAGGTGTAGAAGTTTTGTAAACAGACACACGGACAGACGGACGGACGGACGGACGGACAGACAGAGTGAAACTAATAAGCACTTTTTTCAAAAAATTTTTTGGAAAAGTGCTAAAAACGCAAATATATTATTAAAAGGCTACTACAAAAGGAAAAGAGAAAATCTAACAATGAATTTTCTCAATAAACACGTTTTAGACAATCCTAATTTAACGATATAAGAATTGTACTAAAAACAAACAATTGAAAATATTAAAAAATTTTTGATTTTATTTATTTCAAAAATAATTGCCTGATTACGGGCGACAAATTTTCATTACTCTAGTCAACTGTATTTTAATGCATAAACTCAGGATCATATAATTAATTTTCATAATGTTATCAACATATGCAATGAAAACCACAGTCATTTAGTTGATTTTAGTAAGTGAAAGAAAAATCCATAATGTACATGTACTTACATACATACACACGTATAATATGTAGTGAAGAATAATAGGGAAAAAATTAATTTTGGCCGGAAATTGAATATGTACTATTTTATGCTAGTTTCATTTTAATTCTAAACTTAAAAACTCTTACAAATTATAAACCTATTAAGCTATTATATAAGAAATTCTTTGAAATTAATGTACCCACATATTTTTTAAAAGATTTTTCTCATTGCCTGGTCCGACGGTCGAAAATTTGCTGAACGAAAATATTAAAGATTTCGGCGAACTGAGGCAATTCCCGAAACTATATAAGTTTGGAAATAAAACCTATAAAATGAAACAACACAATAATAAATTGAGACTAAAAGTTTACGTACAAAAAAACAAGGTAAAACAAGGTAAAAAACAAAGTAATAAAATAGTCTTGCTACAATACCACTATAACTTTTTAAATTTCTCGTGTGTGCGGTAAAATCAAATTGGGAATTAAGCCGTAGATTCATATAGCTAAAAGTGTTTAACCATAAGCTAAAAGTGTTTATTAGGAACATGTTGTGTCCCTAATTCAACCAAATTTGAACTAATTTCTTATTTATTTCTTAGACACAAATTTTACCATAAATTACTTTAACAAAATATCTATATTATTTTGCTAAATCGTTGACTCTTACGTGAAGCATCTTTGCGCAAAAATCTATATCTTCCCAGTTTTTAGCAATTTACTAAAGTTCCTAATAATTTTTTTCCCTATATTACTGTCTTTCCAACTTTTTTTAATCAAAATCTTTTAAAAAAAACATTTCTAATTGAATTATAAAATATTTTGACTGCCCAGATATGTGATTGCTATGATAGTCAAGACTCACTATCTATAGCGACCGCATATCACATAAATCAGAGTTATCACAGTAAAGTTCTGATAGGGCACGTGCATATCACATTTTTTTGATTTCATTAGAATTTTTGTGTTTTTTCTTTTTTATTTTTTTCTGATTTTGAAATTGTTATAATTAACTAAGAAATAAAACTTAACGAAAACATATAAATAATTAAAAACATGGCTACAAAGCCACCGGACAAAATTATTTTAAAAAATGTTCCTCCTGACAAATACTTAATTAAAACAGATTCAAATATTAAAATGTCGAATATAACTTCAGGTGCAAAGTTTCTAGTAATGGAACGAACTGACGAGGGAAGCACAATGGAAAAAGTTTCCACGTTCTTAATCAAAAAGGTAATTAATGCGACTGCAGGTGAAATTAATAAAGCCAAAAAATTACAAAATGGAACCTTGTTGATTGAAACAAAAATTTCAAATCAAAGCAAGCATCAAATTGATTCAAATCACCAGATTAACTGAAGGCATTAATTTTAAACTATCTGAGCACTGAACACTAAATAATTCCAAGGGAGTAGCTTTCTGTCCTGAATTTAACTATATTAAAAATAAGGAATTGATGGAAGAACTAAAAGATAAAAATATCGTAGAAGTAAAGGCGATAAAAAAAATAATGATGAACTCATAAAAACTGGCTTATATATTCTTACTTTTTCAACAAGTATCCTACCAGAATGAATATTTGTAGGTTGCGAATTATATCGTGTTAGAGAATACATTCCTTTACCATACAGATGTTTTAATTGTTTTAAATTTCGCCATGGATCACTATGAAATGTGTTTATGAAAAGAAATGCTGTCATTGTGGCGAAAATTATCAATTAAAAGAACAAGAAAAATGTGGAAATAATGCTGAATGTATTAACTGTTCTGGAGCCCACAATGTCTTCTTCAAAGAATATGAAGCTTTTATTAAAGAAAAAGAAATTCAAAAAATAAGAATAACATAAAAAATTAGTATTTCTGAAGCAAAAAAGCGATATAATGCAAGACATCTAACGACTTGTTTCTTTTTCAAACATTGTAAAATGCAATTCAAACTTAAATAATAATGACAACAACAAAACAAATGGAAATAATGTTGCTTTGAACATTGTGGAAAAAAATAAAAATAGGAAACCAGTAACAATTGAAAACAAAACATCTAAAAAATATATTAATCTACCTGAAATTTCTATGCCATTTTAATAATCCAATTCAAAATAAAGAATTATTGCTAAAAATGAAAACAACAATACAAGATAAATTAAACAACAACAATTCTAATAGAATTCAAATATTACCTAAAAATAGGTCTAGAACAGGAAAACAGTTTAAGGAAAGACAATCAAAGCAAAATAAAAAAATCTGATGTGGTCAGCACATAACCGACCGGAATGTGAATTGTTTAGTTAAGTGAAAGTGCTACAGAAT